TAAATGCAGTGGAAAGTAGCATTTTAAATTTTTTTTAATGGAGGAAAGGCCCACAAAGCAAAAGTGTCCAGAGCCCACAAAAATCTCTGAAGAAAGGACCTCTCTGGTAGTTGCCAAAGGGAGCAGGTGACACTGTTGTGAAGCCCGCAGGACGATTCCTGTGTGAAGTAGGGAGTAAGAACATGACAGCATCCTGATAATCACGAAAAGGTTTTTGCTGGCTGTTGGGTGTGCGTGTTTTTTTAATTTTTAATTTGGTACATGTGCAGGTTTGTTACATTGGTATGTTGCGTAATGCTTCTAATAATCCCTTCGCCAAAGTAGTGAACGTGGTACCAGATAGGCAGTTTTTCAACCTTTACCCGCACCCCCCACCCCTCACCCCCACCCCATCGCCCACACCTTCTGCCTTTTGGAATCCCCTGGGTCTGTTGTTCCCATCTTTGTGTCCAAATCGTGGAAAATTTTAAGCAGAGTGATTAACGCCATCAGATCTGGATACTTTCAAAGGTAATCCCCATGGCTGACCGCTGTGGCTCACACCTGTAATCCCAGCACTCTGGGAGGCTGAGGTGGGAGGATTGCCTGAGGCAAGAGTTTGAAACCAACCTGGGCAACATAGAGAGACATCCCCATCCCCTCAGCCAGGTATGGTGATGCATGCCTGCAGTCCTAGCAGCTCGGGAGGCTGAGGCAGGAAGATTGCTTCAGCCCAAGAGCTTGAGGTTACAGTAAGCGATGGTCGTGCCATTTCAGCCTGTGTGACAAAGTAAGACCCTGTCTATAAACAAAAAAAAGAAAGGTAATGCCCATGTCAGTAAGGAAAGGGTATTAAAGAGCTCCAGAATGTTGATAATAGTGAGCATTTATGGTGGGCTTATCAGGGAATATGTTTATTCAACAAATGTTTATTGAATGTCCCCTAAGTGCTGGACTCTGTGCTGCTCCTTGGAGCTCAGTGGTGAACAAATTGGACCTGATCCTTGCCCTGGTAGAGCCTGCATTCTACTCATTCTACTGAAGGAGCTGAAAGGGGGGCCAGGGGGAAACAAATAAAATAAGGACAGAGGTGATCAGTGCTAGTCTTCTGTGATAATAGGAGAGACCCTTCTTGGGGAGATCAGAGATGGCCGCTGAGAAACTTACATTTGAACTGAGAGTCATGTGATGAAAGGGCCAAGCAAGCTAAGACCCAGGCGAGAGCATTTCCAGAGAGCAGAACTGCCAGGGCAAAGGCCAGCCATGTGTTCTTGGAACAGAGAGGCTGCTGAGACTGGCACCGGGCAGGCCAAGGAGAAAGGTAGATGAGGTAGGCAGGGCAGACAGGGCCAGATCTCAGGAGGGAGTTAGGTCTGTGTTAACTGAGGGCCATCTTTAAGGATTGAATGTAATAAGGTATGCCAAGCACTGAGCAGAGAGCTTGCACATGGTAGGTGCTCAGCCAATATCCCATGCATCATTATGAGGAGGATGAAACGTTTGGATTTTTTTGTTTGTTTGCTTGCTCTGAGCATGTGAAGGGACACATCTGAGTTTTCAAAGCCATATCTCCTAGCTGAGGAGACCCTACGGAAGGGAGTGAGAAGGGGAGATGGTAAATTAAGAGGTATGAACAGGAGGCTGAGGAGCAGCTGCAGCTAGCTACTGTGAAGTTGGAGTCAAGTCCAGAGGATAAAACAGCCTTGCAAGTGGGAGTTGGGGGCAAGGAGCAGGGGCAGGGAAGATGCTGCTGTAACTCCCAGCTTGTGTGCCTGCAGATGACCCACGGCTGAAACCGGGAACCCAAGAGGAGGGCAGGTTTCCGCAAGGGATGATAATGAGTTCAGATTGGGTGTGCTGAATTAGAGGTGCCAACAGGACACCCATGTGGAGATGTCTTGCAGGTGGTTGGAGGTGGAAGTCTGCAGCTCCGATTCAATGGATCAAGCTCTAGCTTCTATTCAGAAGATTAAAGTGTATTAAGTTAATGAGTACCCCTGCTGTTGGCTTGTTTCAGGGTTCATTTTCACTTGCTTTCTCAAAATGTTGGAAAGAATAGATGGCTGTTAAACTCCTACTACCTCTCCTCTTAGATTTTTTAAAAAATAGTGCCTGAATTGAAAGCAGACAAATTAATGTATGTATAACTAATTGTGCCTACAGAATTGGGGATTATTTAAGTCACTTCTCCTTCAACTGAAAGGTTGGGTAATCCATTTAATAATAAATGGATTAACAAGCAACTTGTAATGAAAGCATTACATTCAGTCTATAAGTTGCAATGATTTGAAAGTAATTGGGTCTACAAGCCTTGCCTCCTGAGATATTGTGAATCTGTTTTTTTTTTTTTTTCAGTCTTTTCTAGATTGTCCAAATTAGCTTGCATTGCTTAAAATAAATACTCCTAAAGTCATTTAATATATTTTCCTGTTTAAGAATTCTCAGCCGGGTGCAGTGGCTCACGCCTATAATCCCAGCACTTTGGGAGGCTGAGGCGGGTGGATCACTTGAGGTCAGGAGTTTAAGACTAGCCTAGCCAACATGGTGAAATCCCATCTCTTCTAAAAATACAAAAATTAACTGGGTGTGGTGGTGAGCATCTGTAGTCCCAGCTACTTGGGAGGCTGAGGCAGGAGAAATGCTTGAACTCGGGAGGCAGAGGTTGCAGTGAAGCAATCACACCACTGCATTCCAGCCTGGGCGACACAGCAAAACTCTCTCAAAAAAAAAAAAAAAAAAAAAAGACGAAGAATTATTCTGATGGAGAATTTTTATGAAAATTCAAAGTTGGTTTCACTGAATTCATTGAAGAAATACTTACTGAGTACCTACAAGGTGTCACGTGCTGGGGTATAGCTGAATCAGAGACACAGTTCATCTGGTGCTAATGGCAGAAAAAGAGAAAAGAGAAACTGTCTCCAACGATCTAAAAACAAATGCTGTAAGGTTCCAGGCGGGGGTCTGGGGAGCGCAGCAGCAATGGCCAGCCACCTCGTGCTCAACAACAGCGCCAAGATGCCCATCCTCGGGCTGGGCACCTGGAAGTCCCCTTCAGGCCAGGTGACTGAGGCTGTGAAGGTGGCCATCGATGTTGGGTACCGCCACATCGACTGTGCCCACGTGTACCACATTGAGAATGAGGTGGGGGTAGCCATTCAGGAGAAGCTCAGGGAGCAGGTGGTGAAGCGTGAGGAGCTCTTCATCATCAGCAAGCTGTGGTGCACATACCATGAGAAGGGCCCGGTGAAAGGAGCCTGCCTGAAGACTCTCAGAGACCTGAAGCTGGACTGCCTGGACCTCTAACTTATTCACTGGCCAACTGGCTTTAAGCCTGGGAAGGAATTTTTCCCATTGGATGAGTTGGGCAACGTGATTCCCAGTGACACCAACATTCTGGACACGTGGGCGGCCATGGAAGAGCTGGTGGATGAAGGGCTGGTGGATGAAGAGCTGGTGGATGAAGGGCTGGTGGATGAAGAGCTGGTGGATGAAGAGCTGGTGGATGAAGAGCTGGTGGATGAAGGGCTGGTGAAAGCTATTGGCATCTCCAACTTCAACCATCTCCAGGTGGAGAGGATCTTAAATAAACCTGGCTTAAAGTATAAGCCTGCAGTTAACCAGATTGAATGCCACCCGTGCCTCACTCAGGAGAAGTTAATCCAGTACTGCCAGTCCAAAGGCAACATGGTGACCGCCTACAGCCCCCTTGGCTCTCCCGACAGGCCCTGCGCCAAGCCTGAGGCCCCTTCCCTCCTGGAGGATCCCAGGATCAAGGCGATCGCAGACAAGCACAATAAAACTACAGCCCAGGTGCTGATCGAGTTCCCCATGCAGAGGAACTTGGTGGTGATCCCCAAGTCTGTGACACCAGAGCGCATTGCTGAGACCTTTAAGGTCTTTGACTTTGAACTGAGCAGCCAGGATATGACCACCTTACTTGGCTACAACAGGAACTGGAGAGTCTGTGCCTTGGTGAGCTGTACCTCCCACAAGGATTACCCCTTCCATGAAGAGTTTTGAAGGTATGGATGCCTGCTCATCCCTAAGTGACCTATACCTCTGTTTCCTGCCTCATTTTTTTCCTTGCAAATGTAGTATAGCCTGTGTCATTCAGCAGCGGGACAGCAACTTATAGAGTGACCAGCGAGAGCATGTCTGGCTTGATGTCGGATCTGACGAGGCCTGTCAGTAGAGTAGAAGTCTCTTCTAGTTTGCTTTGCCCTTCTTTTTGCCCCACTGGGGAAAGTGCAACCTGAATACCCTTTTCTGACCAAAGAGAAGTCAAATCTGCCAGGTCAAAATGGTACCACTAACAACTGAGTTTTGACCGCTTGGAACCGTAACCCTCTCAGCAAGACTCCTCTTTGCCTCAAATAAAAAGTGCTTTTGTGAGTTTGGAAAAAAAAAAAAAATGCAATGACTTCTGAAGGAGGTCAAGGAAGTCCTTTACAGGGAAAGTACGTTTACATTTTTAAAAATTATTATTAGAAACGGGGTCTCGCTATGTTGCCCAGGCTGGAGTGCAGTGGTTATTCACAGGCGCCATCCCACTACTGATCAGCACAGGAGTTTTGACCTGCTCCGTTTCTGACCTGGGCCGGTTCACCCCTCCGTAGGCAATCTGGTGGTCCCCTGGGACCATATTGATGCCAAACTTAGTGCGGACACCCAACGGCACAGCGCACTACAGTGCAGAGCCCCTGGGCTCAAGCGATCCTCCCACCTCAGCCTCCTGAGTAGCTGGGACTAGAGGAAGTTATGTTTAAGCTGAGACTCATGACTTGAATCTGGAGAACAAAGAGAATAGGGTACAGTGGAGAAAATAAGAAATGACAGTAAAGAAAATGGCTGCAGCACAGACATCAAAAGGAGAGAGAGCGTTAAGTGGGACAGAGAGAGAGGCCGGGCCAGAGAGAGTAAGGGAGAGAGAGAGGGGGGTCAGGGTTGAGGGGGGGAAGAGAGAGAGAGAGAGAACGGGAGGGGGGGGCATGCCAGAGAGCGAGAAAGGGAGAGAGAAATGGAGGCCGAGCCAAAGAGAGAGAAAGAGAGAGCAAAGGAAAGGAGAGGGCAGGCCAGAGAGAGAGAGAGAGAGAGGCCAGGCCAGAGAGGTAGGCAGGAGCCAGATGGCCAGAAACATGCAGAGTTTGGACTCTAAATCTCAGAGTAATGGGTAGCCATAGAAGGATTTTAAACACAAGAGTGGCATGGTCAGATGAGTTTGCAGCTCTTTCAGGCTGCCCTATGGAGAAAGAATCTGAGGGGAGCAAAGTAGAGCTTGGGAGACCAGCTGGGATGCCACTGATGAGACATCCAGGTGAGACTTGATGGTAACTGAGATGAACACATTTGGACGAGGCTTAGAAAGCCAGCTCGATTGCCGTTTGAAAGGCCTTACCTGATGAGTGTATAATGAACACCCCAATCCTTAAATCTTTCATCTTCTATTCATCTTTCAACCCACTCCTGTCTTCTGTCTCTTTCAGGCCACTGCCATCATTTCCTCCATAGCCAAAGAGCACTTCTCTGTCTTCGTTCTATGTGATCTCTCAGCAGTTATTGACATCAGTGGTAGCTCTGGCCCTTTCGAAATGCAGAGCTCTCCCTCCCCTGTGTCTGTAGCACAGTACTCTCCTGGCTTCCCTTCCACCCTGTCACCTGTTTCTTCTTGGACTTCCTTCCTGTTGTCCCTCTGCTTGTTCTGTAGCTATTGCAGTTCCTCAGGACTCAGACCTGGATCTCTTCTCTACTTCCACTCTCTTTCTAAAGGATCTTATGCAGCCCACATCTTTAAAACCATCTGTGTGCTGAGAATTCTTACATTTTTCTCCAGCTCTCATGTCTTCCCTGATTTCCAGACTTGTGTCTTTAACTGATCTAACTGCCCCTTAACCTCATCTTTGGGTATTCCGTGGGCATCTCAAGCATCTTGATGAGCAACACAAATGTCATCTTTTTCTTCTGTTTTCTCCTTTCAGGACCTGGGGCCACCAGGTCCTTAGTTACCAACACCAGACACCTGGAAATCATTAATAACTTCTGTCCCCCATGACTCCCATTCAGCCCAAGGCAAATTCTGCATCAGATCCACTTGAAAAATCTACTTCAAATCTACCCGCTTGCTCCATCATTATGCCACTGTCTTAGTTCAGGCTCTTACCAGCTCTCACCTGGGTGGCCACAATAGCCACAGACTGATCTGACTCATCTTTCTATTCTCTATTACAGTTCATTCTCCAAACAGCAGTGTGATGGTTTACAAAATAGATCCACAATTTTTTGAATACTCTTCTCTTAAGAGGTGGAGCTAATGTCCTCCCTCTTGAGTGTGGGCTGCACTTAGTGATTCAATTCTAATGAATAGAATAAGGCAGTGACAGTGGACCAGGTCATAAAAAGACGCTTTATGGGCCAGGTCATAAAAAGATACTGGGACTTTCATTTTGGCCACACTCGCTCAGATCACTCGCTTTGGAGGAAGCCAGGTGTCACATTGTGAGAAGCCCGTTGGAGAAGCCCATGGTGAGGAACTGAAGCCGCCTACAGCAGCTAAGTAAGTGGGCTTGGATGTGGATTCTCCAGTTTCAGTCAGGTACCAGCTGACATACTGCTTACAACTTCATGAGAGACCCTGAGTCAGAGCCAGTCAGCTAAACTGCTTCCCAATTTTCTGCAGAAACTATGACATAATAAATGTATGTTGTAAGTAAATCAATTTGGGGTAATTTTTTCTGTGCAGCAATAATGAACTAATATGAGCATCTAAAGCAGTCTTTTAAAACACAAGCCAGATTATGTTCCTCCTCTGCTTAATACAACTCAGTGGCTTCTCATTTCATCAAAAAAAAAAAAAAAAAAACCATTTTCTCATGTCTGACATGACAACAGAGTAAGGTCAACAAATCCTGCCCCTTAAATGCCACAGTGATACTGGACAAAACTGTCAAAAATAACTGTTGCAGGCCTCTGGAAATAATAGACCAAAGGCATACAGCAAATGGAGAAGCATTTATTAATTAAAATTACTAAACTTTAAGTAAGAACACTATGAGTCTGTGACATTTTGGCCTGTGTACTTACTTATTCTTGAAAGCAACAAGGGAAATGTGATTAATGACTTGACTGCTCATCAGAAAAAAATGGAGGCCAAAGGCAGTGCAAGGACATATTCAAAATGCTAGAATAAAGCAAACTGACAACCAACAATTTTATATCCAGCAAATATCAAAAAAGGTAAAATAAATACATTCCCAGATAAAGATGGAAAGAATCTGTTGAAAATGACCTGATATTAAATAAAAAGAAATACTAAAGGAAATTTTTCAAGCTGAAAGTAACACTAGATAGTAACTTCAGTTCACAAAAAGAGATGAAGAATATCGGAAATGGTAAATATTAAAGTCTATAAAGAGACTCCAGTTCTCTTGAATTTTAAAAATATCTAATATTAAATAAAGTAATCATCATAACACTGTACTATTGTATTTATAATAGCAAAAGGATGAGGATGAAGGGCAGTGAGATATAGTGGAGTGAGGTTTCTTTTTTTTTTTTCTTTTGAGACGGAGTTTTGCTTTTTTGCCCAAGCTGGAGTGAAGTGGCATGATCTCGGCTCACTGCAACCTCTGCCCCACTGAGTTCAAGCGATTCTCCTGCCTCAGACTCCCGAATAGTTGGGATTATAGGTGCCCACCATCACACCCGGCTAATTTTTCTATTTTCAGTAGAAATGGGGTTTCACCATGTTGGCCAGGCTGCTCTCGAACTCCTGACCTGAGGTGAGCCACCCACCTCAGCCTCCCAAGGTGCTGGGATTACAGGCATAAGGCACCGCACCCAGCTGAGGTTTCTATATTTTACTGAAATTAAGTAAATTTGACAGACTGTGTTAAATTAAGATGTGCACTATAATCCCTAGAACAATCACTAATGAAGAAACTAAAATAAATAAAGTAAAAAATAAAATCAACACATTTAACATAAAATAAGGCAGTAAAGCAGACCAGAAGAGACAGGAGACAGATATAAAACAAATAGCAAAATGGCAGCATACATCCAAGCATATCTGGAATTTTATTAAATGTGAAGAGACTAAATATCTCAAAAGACAGAGGTAGTCATAGTGGATGAGAAAGCAAGACCCCACCCATCTGCTGTCTAAAATAGAAACACCATAGATTTAAAGACACAAATAGATGGGAAGCAAAAGGATGGAAAAAATTTATGCCATGCAAACAGTAACCATAAGAGAATTGAAGTTTCTTTCTTTTTTCTTTTTTTTTTTTTTTTGAGATGGGGTCTCACTCTATCACCAGGCTGGAGTGCAGTGGCACAATCTCAGCTCACTGCAACCTCTGCCTCCCAGGTTCAAGCGATTCTCCTGCCTCAGCCTTCCGAGTAGCTGGGACTACAAGTGCCTGCCACCATACCCGGCTAAATTTTTGTATTTTAGTAGAGACGGGGTTTCATCATATTAGCCAGGATGGTCTTGATCTCCTGACCTCGTGATCTACCTGCCTCTGCCTCCCAAAGTGCTGGGATTACACCCTGCCCGACAAGAGTTGAAGTTTCTATATTAATATCAGAGAAAATAGAATTTAAGACTTTGTTTACTTATTATTATACTTATTTAGAGATGGAGTCTTGCTCTGTTGCCCAGGCTAGAATGCAGTGGTGGTACCATCATAGCTCATTGCAACCTTCAACTCCCGGACTCAAATGATCCTCTTGTCTCAGTCTCCTGAATAGGTGGGACTACAGGCGCATGTCACTACACCTAGTGAAAATCACTATATTTTTGAGAAGCTTTGCTGCCTTGAAGACAAATTTGCAGTATCACTTGGGGAACATCTGAATGAAGCTGTCCCTGAACTGTGAAGCTGCTACCAGAGTGGAGAGCAGAGCAAATCCCTCACCAGTGGCTGGGAGCAGCGTGGCTGGGGAAAACAACATCAGGTAGTCATTTTGAAGTGACCCCAGGGGCAGGAGGGAGGAACAGGAAAGGAAGAAAGCCAATACAAAGG